AAGTTTCCTTCTACTTTCTTTTATTGGTTAAGTTCTAAAGGAGGTTTTCTGATTTTGTTTTACACCCAACAACACAATCTTAGTTTTTCTTCTCTTCAATATCTATTTATTAATTTTCTGCTTTAGACCATTAGAAAGGTTTGTATGACCTTTCAAATCTCAACTATCTGCTCGTCTTTCAACTTCTTATCTTCTGTATTTAAACAAAATACACACGTTGTTTAAATAACAGAATTCTAAATTCAGTACTGATAATATGCTAAAAATACACTTTTCCATTATTAAATCCTAATGCCCCAAAGTATAACCAAAGAAAAACTTTTTTAAAATAGTTACACTACCTTTCTCTTCCGTGCTTGCTGTTTTCCCTCTACTCCATTCACTCCAGAAAATTGACTCAACACAGCTACACCGAACGGCAACTGAATATTCTGTGGAGTCCCACAGACCTGTGAGATTACACGATCCTGTTTTCTCTGCAGACTTCAGTGGGACTGTGACAAATCCCTGAAAGCAGATACATGAACAAAAATTATTTGTTACAAAACTGCAAGCAGACATATGACTTTGCTTTTAAAAAATAAAAACAACCTGAAGGATGCAGCTTTCATGTTCCCCAGCTCCAAAACTGAAAAATTGGTTGTTTCATTTTTCTGTATAGCATCTTCATTCTTGCTGCAAAACTCTGGGTCTGAAAAACTTGAGCCAAAACTACATCTGTACTATACAGACTGGTGGCCTGAACAGTGTGGAGTTCACATGTGACTCTAGAGCAGCTGAGCTGGCACAGGAGGTGCTGGATGACTGCACTTACCACTGTCGGGAAGCAACTGACTAAGCCAGTACCACCATAATGTCCTACATTCAGCTCCACCTCACAGCAGAAGCAGCCCTGGGGAAGCAGTGATCACCTGCAGCTTGTAAACCAACTCTGTATATGTTTCTTTTTTTGTTTTATTTTTGAGTTACAGGGTCTTCTAGCTCTTAGACATGTAATGTGCCTGGAGGCCATCACAAAGCTTATCAGCATATGATTAAAATGAAAAAAAAACTACAAAAACATAGAAAATTCTGCTCCGAAGTTAAAAGAAACGGACAAGAGTATAAGAAATAAATAATGCAATATCTCCTTGGAAAAGTAAAGACAAAGTGAGTAATTGCCTCATCTTAAAAGAAACCCACTTGCATTTCACTTATGGAAGTCAAAAGCTAAATTGTTGCTCCAAGAAAAAAGGTGAAAGAAGACATGAAAACCAGGAATTGCAAGTGATGCATCAACTCTACTAGACTGACAAGGGAAGATGAAGAAATCAGGAATTATAGAAAGATACATACAAAAGGATTGATACAATCACTACACCAAAAGTAATGTCTTCTCTTTCAACTGCCAAAAATAATCATTAATTAAAACCTCTCCTCCTTTCAAATTTCAGATTAACACTGGAACAGAAAGACACTAAAATAAATGTTGAAGCTAGCTAAATTCAAACAAGTTTGGCAAAGATAAGTAATAGAATAAGGAAGAGTCCTCCTCAGGAGCCATACTGAAATATTAACGTCATGTAGATTTACAGTAACAGAGAAAAAAAAACTGTGAAAAAAGTCTTGTCTTCCACCAGTTGAACCTTCCAGTGACAAAGAGAAGGAAACTACAACAATGCAGACACCCATTCCTTTGAACAACTTGATGTGAAGTGCCCTGCCTATTGAAACTGAAAATTTCAGTCCATTCTGATCTCAAGAAAGTCATGGTCAAAAACAGAAAGCTGCATCCCCAAGAATGAATTCAGGGACCTACTAACCACTGCTAAGTGACAGACTCTTTAGCCAACCTGCAATAAAATGAGCTTCAGCACTATCATCAACATCCTGCAGAACCCAAGGTAGAATTGCAGACACCCTAGACTAGGTTTTAGTTACTTGCCAAAAGGCTGTTAGCAATATAGTTAATTATAACTAAAAACTTTGTATATGCAAATAGAAAGGTCGGTAATCCATTTTTAACTCAGTAAAAACAGTCCACAGAAAAACATTTATATTTTTTTGGTAGGAAGGTTTAAAAGGTCAAGAAAATATCTGTAATTTTCTCAAACAACTTTATTTATTTATTTTGGATATACATGTTGGTAGACAGAAAAGCAGGTCCTATATCTAACTGGTGGTTTGAGGCTGTCTTTGTTGGCTGTTGCCACTGGGTTGGCTACAGACAAAACTATCAGTCATGCCTGTCTAAGATGCTACAGAACTAAACTCACCAGATTTTGTCTTTACTGATCACAGCTACTAGTTTTTCTCTGCAATGTCTCTGGAAAAATACAGGTAAATTCTCAGGAAGAAAATGGAGGTAGACTGTATTTGACAGTGAAAAAGTAGATGTGATTTCTTATGCAGGTGATGACAAATAGAGACAATACGCAATAGTGCCATAACTCTGCAAAAACATGAATGTTTTTAACATTTGGGAAGGATCTCACAGGCATGTAAGCATCATAAAGACACCAGTGTCTTGACTCTAAAGGGATAAACATTTTGAACAGGTATTTTAAACGCATACTACTTCAGTTTCCAAACTGGATGGACCTGAGCCATCCTGCCCATCAGACCATCCCAAAGATTATACCTTGAATCCAACCATTAATATGCCATATTTACAGTAAAGATCCTTGCCATGAGATGCTTGCCAGGAGGATGCTAATTAGAAACATCTTCAGTATCAGGAACTTTTTTAAAGCTCTAAGGACTATTTTTAGTTACACTGATGAATTCTTCTCCCTCAGAATTCCACATTTAATGAATAAAATAGCAAGGTCAGGGCAGACATCTTAGTTGAATGAACTTTAAAAAAAAAAAAAGAAAAATAGAAAAAAAACACACACCCAAAAAAAACCCCAAAACCAGACAAAAGAAAACCAAGCCAGGCAACCTGGCCCATTCTCAAATTTGGAACAGGAAACAGTTAAGATTGCAAACAGAAATACTTGCATACTGAAGAGCATCAGAATGGGCCATACGAAAGAGGTAAACTACTAAATACTATTCTCTCCATAGCAGTTCCATTTAAGTGTCAGAAAGAAACTCAGAAAACTAACTTCCATCACTTTCCATCTTGCAGAACTCAGACTTCAATTCACTTGAAACTTAATGTATCATTACCCCACCTTAATCTGGTTAAGCTACTGTGGTTGGGAGTAAACGCGGTTTTCCACATCAGGATGAAATAAGAAAATAAAGTATTTTGACTCTGTGTGTAATCCCTTAGCTAAGGTCATCCCTTAGCATTTCACAGAAATTTATCAGAAGTATGGTATATTCCAAAACAGGCATTGACCAAAAGGAAGAAAAAAGTTAATCCTAGACAACAAAAGAACAATCTTAAGGTCATACATACCTAATTACACTCCAGCAGAATAACAAGGTTTTACTCATTATTTCCAACTACTTGTTGCCTTTTTCTATTCAGCTTTTTATAAGATTAAGATAAACAGTCACAAAGATAACATTCAGAAGAAATTTTATATAGCTTACCGATGAGTTTGTATACAAGTTTCTGTACTGAACCTGGCAAATTAAATCTTGTGAAGGCTTGATCTCAGGCATTTTCCACGTTACTGTAAGCAATTGCTTTATACCAGTGATATTTTTAACTGAAAGTATTTCAGGAGGTTCAATTTTCTCTAGATTGGAGAAACAAAAACATTAACAGAGGAATATATTTCTGTAGAAGTTCAGAATTGCTCCATCTATGTGTGTTCCAAGAAGTTTAATTATTATACCACTAACATGTATTCTACCACAGTCTTCACTTTTTGGTCTATTTTACAGACACAACTCTGTATAAGGGAAGTCATCTATAACAGAGATTGCACACATAACTGATGTAATGCTGAGAAACCCTCTGTCAAACAGACGTACAGATTTATTTTATCTGTATCACCACTGAAAAATACTACTCAGAGACAAGAGTAGGAAAAATAAACTAAGTGAAGCTGGGATGCCCAAGTTCAAGCTGCAGATGAGGGAAGAACTTAGTTGAAAATGATTTGAGAGGGAGAGAAATGTGAAGGAGATGATGAGAAAAGAATGGATTAACACTGAGACAAGAGATGGCTGGTACAGAGGACTTGGAAAGTAAGGAGCTACAGCAGGTCTGAACACAGAGAGAAAAGGAGCGTTAATGGCTGGAGAGCTGACAGCACTGCAGCAGAAATACTCAATTTGGTGATTAACTACACAAAAACGAAAAGAGGAAAATGCAGCACAGCACAGAGGGAGAAGAGATAGCCTAAACATAATTATTGCTTGAATCACAGAACAGGTAATTTTTTAACATTCCTAACCAGAAAGCAAATGATGGACAGACCTGGAGAAATATCACTATCCATTTACAGCCAGATATTGCACAGACAATATCTGGTACCACTCAAAAATACAAAAGTAGAGCTCAAGTACCACCTAGTTTGACAAAAAGTTTTAGTGTATGGCCTTTACTAGTTAATAATTAAAAGGTTAGTAATTTACAATGGAAACATCAGACATTAGCATAACAAAATATTGTTGTAATTAGACATATCTTAGTATGAATACAGCACACTATTACTTTCTACCATCTCTCAGTAACACCAAGAAATTGCTGAAAATTGCTTGTGTATCACCAACCAGTTCAACTAATTTTACATGGAAAGGCCAACAATTAAAACGTAACAGAAGACTTGCTTCTCCTAAATTGGAAGCAGCCAATTCTGATGGAAAAAAAAAAAGGAAGGATGAAATCTTGTGTTAAACCTTAAATGTAATTTCAGAGACATTGTCATTTTAGCTAACAATTAAAATCAGATGGCACTTCAAAACTGAAACTAGCTTAAAATTAGACTAAACCCAAATAATATTTTCAAAACTATTGCACTGAAAAAATATTTTATCATTTTCTCCCATGTAAACCAACTTTGATTACACAACTTGTTTCCAAGTTCTCTAATGTGCGTGCTATAGGAAGGAAAAAAGAATCAGGGAAGGCGCAGTCAGCTCAACATATACTGCTTTATCTTTATGTAACTCTTTTTTGTAATTACCTATTTCTTCCATAGGTATAGGAACACAATCTGATGAGGCTTCACCCAAAACATTTTCAGCTTTCACTTGAAAACAAAAAACATTACTAAATGGAATATGTGGGGGATAAAATGAACATGACTCTGTTTTGCTTTGGCAGGGGGTCACTGGACCAGTCACCATTCCTCCTCTCAGCCTAAAAAGAAGAGAGAGAAAAATAAAACACATTAGAAGATTACAATAACTCAAACTGATTATTTTTATTTGCTATTAATAATGTTTTTGAGGTTGCAGGATATTTTTACCAGTGAACATCTACTTTGACGAGCTATTTGTGCAAACAAGTACTCTTTCCTAATTGCACTGCTCCCGCAAAAGCATATAAATAGCCTGCACAGACTCAATTAGTTTTAATTGCAATTAGTAAGACAGCTTTCCAGGAGCAATAATGAAGAGTAAAAATGCCTTCATGGGGGACCCACATGCTAATTATTTTAGGTAAATAGATGTAGCTAGTAAAACGTGCCACATGAAACTATGGGACAATGGGATAACAAGCTTTTATTCATCCTTTAAACACAGAAAAAAAGAAAAGCCAAATTGTGTCACTGTCAAGCAGTAAAGGTAATAGAAAGAACACACTGATAATACCTAACAATAAACTGTTGGTAAACTCAGAGGGGGAGTTATCTGGATTAAAATTAGTGGTTAGATTTACTGGAAATAGTTTTGCAATCCAATTCACTGTGTGGTTAAAAAAGAATTTGTGCTGGTACAGGAGAGAACAATATTGAAACATTTTCAATAGCTGTTCTAGTTTGTTGTTTCCCAAACTCAGCCAAGTTGTAAAATCTAGAACCACTATACAGACTAAGAAAGCCACACCTAATGAAGATGAAAACCTAAAATGTCAAGCTGACAATGGAGGTAAAACTAAAGATATTTTCCTTCCCCACCATCTAGATAAAAAGATACTACATTCTAAAATAACTTAAAATAAGAAAATGTCTCCTTTGGAGTCTGAATTCCTTTCAGTTCTCAAGAATAATTTTAGACATTTTTAAAATCTCTTAAGAGATCATACTGCTTAGAGTCTTGATTAGGCAGAAAAAGCACTACAAGCAGCACTATTTGAAGAACAGATTGACAACTATACTTGGGACAAAATCTATGCTATCACCTTCAAAACTCCCTCAGATTTTCCTTGGAACACCACTGATTTCACCATTTTCACAGGAAGTTATGAGAAAGTAAGCTCCTAAACAATATTTAAAATCTAATGGAACTTGAAAGAATCAAGTATTTATGCTTCTATAATGGCATCACAAAAACACTAAAAAGCATGAGACTACATAATTTGTGAGTACAAATCCCCAGATGCAAGCAATCCAAAAAGGACAACTAACTTTGGATTCTTTCACTGAAACCTTGTGACTCCAAGGTCCCTAGGTTAAAACCTCCTGGTTTCAAGAAGAATAACAGGGACTTTCATAGATTTATCTTGGATTTGTTTAAAGTAGAGGAGAAAGTAATCTTTTTTACCCATCCAAAGTGAAGATACTAATTACACAGAAAGTTCCTGGGTAACAATTGCACAAAGTGCCTCCATTCTCCATTTGTACCTATGCTCACTCAGCTTGTGATGTCATTAGAAATGTTACTTCAGTGAAACAAGTATCAGTTCTCATATGAATATTCGTCTACTGAAGACTGGGTTGAGAGTGCTCATTTCCTTTATACAGTGTACTAAAAAGGTATCAGATTGGAACTTTTTTAGCCATTACCAACCCCAAATCAATTGCATTTTCTGAGAAATGCCACAATTCTGAACTCCAAGCTGTTTCCAGGTTTACATTAAACAGAACTCAAGGTATAAGGGGAAAAGAGCCAATGTCCTTGTCCCAGCAGCCCAGTTTCAAATACATCCTATACTTACATTTTGCGGTAAAGAGTATAATTTGTCTTAAGATTTGTCTCTCTTCCTGAAGTCCATGTGCAGGTAAGTTCAATATCAACATAATAAATGCAAGAAATATTTCCTGGCGTGTCTGGTGGAACTACAATAACAAAGGATTTAAAAAAAAAAAGTCCAGTAAAAATAAGTAACTTTAACGTGTAACTGATTTTATTGGTCAAACAGAAGATTATGCAAACTTCACCAAGTGTCTTACATAGCACATTTTTAATAAGAAATTTTCTAAGAACTTTTTTAATAAGAAATTTTATAATTTCTTACTGTCCTCAAAACTCCTAATAAACCCGAAATCAAAATCAATCTTTATTCGCCAAGGGAGACAGGGAGGTTCTCTCCAGTTACTTCTTGTAAGTACTCACTAAGTAGGCCTGAAGGATTTTTTGCAACGACTCATTAGCTATCTTAAACCACTACATACACTGTCCTGAGCCTCTAAGTACACCCATCGCAACACGCCTGTAGCTCAAGGCCACTCCAGACAGTAAAAAGACATCAAAGAAATAGCACAAAAGTTCAGGAAAAGGCATTCTCTGAAAGATAAAACCACTCCTGGTTCCTTCCCAGAAGATACCCTATGAAAACCCCTAATCTGAGGAACCTACATGACCTCAAGAGTGCAGAAGAGAACTTCCTAGGAAACCTATCTATATGACCTCAAGAAATCACTAATTCTGGACTCTCTTTATCTTATAAGCAACACAGCACAACAGAAATAACCCTCTGCGATCTCTACAGTTTGAAGTCATCAATTAAAAAAAAAAAAAAAAAGAACACCTTCAAGAATTCTTTGTTAAGGCCAGAAGACACAGGAGTTGAAAGGAAGGGAACTGCACCCAGTGAAATAAACTGGTTGAAAATGACCTCTCTCCAAAACAGTACTTTTCTGTCTGACCTAATGTAACATTCAAAAGATCCTTCTGTTATTGACAAGAGATGTACCAGTGTATTAGTACAGATCAGATGTATCAGCACAGATGTATTTTTCTGCATTGATCACTTCTTTATTAGAATGGGAGCCCCAGGCACACGTTAGTGCAATCTGGGCTTAATCTATTCAATAAGTTAGAGAATTTGTATACATAGTTATGCTGTAACCTTCTCCACAAAAGACTGTTATTAAAATTTCTTTGAAAGAGATTAGAGAGGAAATCCTTCCTGAAGAAAACTGAAGCTGGCTATAGGCTAGACAAAAGACATAACAAAAGGGACAGATCCAGTACCCCCTGAACTCAATAGAAAACCTCCATTCACTTCAGCTGCTCAAAAGCCAGGGTTAGTGATATGACAGACCAGTGTCTGTAAGGAATGCCTGCAACTTCAGGCTTTATTTCAGGGGAGGGGAAAAAAAAAAAAAAGAAAGAAGGGTGTTCAGTTCTGGGCTCCCCATTTCCAGAAGGACAGAGATCTACTCAAGAGAGTCCAGCGAAGGGCTACGAGGATGACTGAGGGGCTGGAACGCCTGCCAGATGAGGAGAGGCTGAGAGACCTGGGGCTTTTTAGTCTGGAGAAGAGAAGACTTAGAGGGATCTAATTAATGTGTAGTAATATATGAGGGCTGGGTGTCAGGAAGGAAGGGGCAATCTCTTCTCACATATGCCCTGCGACAAGACACAGGGTAATGGTCACAAGCTGGAGCACAGGAAGTTCCACCTAACATGAGGAAGAACTTCTTTCCTGTAAGGGTTGCAGAGCACTGGAACAGGCTCCCCAGGGAGGCTGTGGGGTCTCCTTCCTTGGAGACTTTTAAGACCCATCTGGATGTGTTCCTGTGTGACCTGCCCTAGACTAGATGGTCCTGCTCTGGCAGGGGGGTTGGACTCAATGATCTCTGGAGGTCCCTTCCAATCCCTAACATTCTGTGATTCTGTGAACTGAATAAAGGTGTCTAACAATGCCACATGCTAAAAAAAAAAAAGTTATTAAAAAATGTTAACTTTCATTCTTACACAAATGTACTTACAGCCAGATTTAACTTCAGTGTGAACCAAAAGTTGCTCCTTGCCAAGGTACTTAGTGAAACATTTCACATGAGCTTTGCTGTGAGTGAAATTATGGATAGTCAAACTAGATACAGTCTCATTCACAATATTATAGTTTTCCTCAGCAATCATTTCATGATTCAATTTCCAGATGATGTGGCTTGCATTTCTGTGAGGTGTATAGCGTTTTCCAAGAAAACAAAATAGTTTCAGGGCAGATCCTCTTTCAATTTCAGGAGATGAAGGAAAAATGTCAGCATCTCTGATAGAGTTTTCATCTAGAAATAAGATCAAAGACATCACATAACCTAATTATTTTTCAAATACCAATGGCAAAATGATAACTTGTTGTCTGTAGACCATTTAATTGGATTTTTTTTTTAAATATGGCGTTCAAATAAAATTCTGTTAGTCACTTGAATCAGATATTGCTGTTTGAAAACTTAGTTCACATTAGTTACTCTATTACCATAGGTATTGTATAAGCATGATGTTTCTATACCTTCCCCAACATAATGCAGAAATTTGAACTGAAAAAGCTTGTTAATATGCTGAAAATGAAGAAAATTTTTTTTTAAAAAACATTTCTATATGTAAAGGGTATGTATACCATTTAGATGTTATCATTACTGATAACTCTATAAGAAAATAAACCACACTGGTAAGCTTAAAATTCACAATTAAGACGTGATCTATTTCAATATATTAGTACTTTCCCCCCTCATAGTATTTATATTCCCAGATACAGTGCAGGAATTGTACACAAAACACATGTAAAAGGAAAACACAGAAGCAGGCTGACTGAATTAATTCAGCAACAAAGTCATCAAACAGTGCAGGAATCACCCATTAGAGTCCTGCAAGGAGTTAGCTGTTTGGTTTTTTTTTTAGCTGCTTCTTATTTCTTGAAGTAAAATTTCATATATAAATCTGTCAAAGAAAATAAAAAAACCGCACACTTTTACAGACAGCATTTCTTTGCTAGAATGTGGGAATGAAATGGAATCAAATACTAACCTCTAATCCTTGTTTTCTGCTAATTCTCTCCTTTTTGGGTGTTTTAACTGCAAATTGTTTTCTATGTTTCTTTTTGTCTTTTTTGTTTCAATGTAATTTCTTCATATTTCAAAGTACTATACAAAAAAACATACTAATGACTACTCTACAGTCTGCTGCACAAATTTTAGTGTATTATCAGGTTTAAGCAGTTGTTCAAGCTTCTGTAAATGTACACACTCCTCTTCCGTGTGGCACCCAAACTATTTAAGACACAAATACCATTATATAATAAATCATTATTGTGTCTTAAGTTGTACATGACAAATTGCACTTGAACTTTCAATTACTGTCACAAAGTCATTTTAATCTGTCCTTGTGATTTCCTATTCTAACCTGCACTATTCAACTTAATAATTTCAAAAGAGGCACTGTTGTCAAATGAAACTTTTTCAATCCTCAAGCACTCATTCACTGCAGTTATACCCTTCGCGTGCCAGAAGCAGTGCCTGCATAGTGGACAAAAGGGAAACTGATACAGATGAAAAATTAGTTAGCAAAAAATAGCATCATACTCCATCCAGATCAGATTCCTCACTGCTTAGCAACTAGCCACACAAACAGGTGCTCCAGCAGAAGGAGAGAGAGATGAGAGGTGGATGGACTGTGGAACTACCTGCTTTTTCAGCTCCACATTTTTAAAAAAGAAAAAAAAATTTATAGTCACACATTGTTAGGTGACTTTTAGGAATAAAAACATAAGTAAACATTGCATTAATCTCTGAATAGCTAATATTTGACTTAAACCAGTCCAAAACCAGTGAACTGCATTTTAAGTGTTTGTGTTACATACATATCAATTTGTTCCATCAGCAGATCTCCAAAGTTACCAGCTTTTACAACCCAACAAGAACTGAACAATGATATGACTTCCAAATGTAGGTTCCACTTCTATATTCCATGCAACAGTGAAACAGTTAACAAAGCAAGTTTTTTAAAAAAATCAGTACTTTAAATACAAAAGTAAACAAACCCAGGCTATCATGATCACAACTAACACTCCACAAGAGGACATAAAGCATGTCATAAAGTAATTTATCTCTCTGTACTATATACTACTTAGTCAATCATGTGTTACCTTCTATTTTTAAAACACATCTTTTTCATTTTCAGAACTCTTCAAATTTTAATTTGGAGAAGGTCACTTCTTGGAAAACTTTCTTATGGCATGACAGGTGCTAATAATCAAGAAACATACCTGCTATAGAGCTGCGGAGCAGGACAAACATCCAAATCAAGCTGCTGAACATTTTCTTTTCATTAACTATGGGCAGGAAATGCTGTCATAAAATAAAAATAAAAACAATTTACTTGAAAACAGCCTGTAATAATTTGTAAGCATTTGCGGAATCATAGAACAGTTTGGGTTGAGAGGGACCTTAAAGGCCATCCAGTTCCAACCCCCTTGCCGTACCTTCTACCAGATCAGGTTGTGCAAAGCCCCATCCAACCTGTTCTTGAACACATTCAGTGACAGAGCATCCACAACGTTCCTGGGTAACCTGTTCCAGTGTCTTACCACCCTCATAGCAAAAAACTTCTTCCTTACATCTCATCCAATGGTACCCTCTTCCAGTTTGAACCCATTACCCCTTGTCCTATTACTACAAGCCCTTGTAAAAAGTCCCTTCCCAGCTTTCTTGTAACCCCCCTTCAGATACTAGAAGGCTCTAGTAAAGTCTCCCTTAATCCTTCTCTTCTGCAGGCTGAACATCCCCAACTCTCCCAGCCTGTTCTCACAGGAGAGGTGCTCCAGCCCTCTAATCATCTTCATGTCTCTCCCCTGGAGCCGCTTCAACAGGTCCATGCCCTTGTGTTGGGGGCTCCAGAGCTGGATGCAGTACTCCAGGTGGGGTCTCACCAGAGCAGAGTAGAGGGGGAGAATCACCTCCCTCGAGAGCTGGACGCAGTACTCCAGGTGGGGTCTTGCCAGAGCAGAGTAGAGGGGGAGAATTGCCCCTCTCGACGTGCTGGGCACACTGCTGTGGATGTAGCCCAGGATACAGCTGGCCTTCTGGACTGCACTCTCACACTCTTGGCTCACGTTGAGCTTTTTGTCAACCAGCAATAATAATGCTTGTATGAAATGCAATATAATGCTTGTAAGCATTGAATTAATAAAGCTATTCAGCACTTCTCACATGTGTTCAAGTTAAGTATTGCTTTGTCTAAGTGTTACTTCCCTAGGCACAGTCACTCAAAGCCAGTTGCTCAGGATCACATCCTGGCAGCTTCTGAAGACCTCCAAGGATAAAAAGTCCATAGCCTCTCTAGTCAACCAGCTCCAGTGCTCAGTTACCTTTACAGTGAAAAAGTGTTTCCTGATGTTCAGAGGGAACCTTCTGTGTCTCAGTTTGTGTCCACTGCCTCTTGTTCTGCCACTGGGCATCACCGGAAAGAGCCTGACTCTTTGCACTTTCCCTTCAGGTATTGATGAGATCCCCAGTAAGCCTTCTTTTCTCCAGCCTGATTAGTCCCAGCTTTCTCAGCCTTCTCCCAAATGACAGATGCTTCTGTCACTTAATTGTTGCAACTGTTCATTGGACTCTCTCCAGTGTGTCCATGTCTCTCTTGTACTGGGGAGTCCAGAACTGGACACAGTACTCCAAGGGTGGACTCACCAGTGCTGAGCAGGGGGGAGGGATCACCTCCTTTGACCTGCTAGTTACAATCCTCCTAACCCAACCCAGAATACCAAAAGCTTCCTTTGGTGAAGGGCACACTGCTGGCTCACGTTCTACCTGGCGTCTACCAGGAGCCCCAGGGCCATTTCTGCTAAGCTGCCTTCCAGCTGGTCAGCTTCCTGTCTGTACTGGTGTCTGGGGTTGCTCCTCCACAGAGGCAGGATTTGGTACTTCTCCTTGTTGAACTCATGAGGTTCCTGTCAGCCCAATTAGCAACCAGTGATTTGACATGCCAGCTGCTAGTTCCTACATGTCAGAGACCCAGATAGTGACTCAGCAGGTTACAACTCTGGCTCAAGTCCTGCGTGGTTGTACTATGCTGAGATATGACTAAATAGCTCTTTGGCTGTTTACTTAAGAGCTTACACAGGTAAAACAGATGAAAAATACCATTCCTGAATGACAAAATTACATGGCAAATTCAGAAGTGCTTTACTTAAAAGCTACCTACAAAAGCTCAATTCTGATGACTAAACAAACAGCATGCACAGAACTGTCATCTTCAACCATTAAAAAAACTGATTTACCCAAGCCAGATTTCTTGCAAGAAGGGGAAATCTCATGAAAGACTCATTAAATGAACGAAAAAAAATAAATATTGTGTAACTTAGTTGATGAAACAAGGCTTTCTCAATACCAAAACCTCCAAGGTTTCCATTTTCATCTTGAAATTGATGTTGCTCTGGAAGAGCTGTGGTTTAAAAATTTAAACAAGTCAGGGGAATCAATTACCCAAAGTCCCTTTTCCCCATCGTCTATTTAGGACTATTTCTTAATCACCCTTCTCCGCCATTTTGGGACAGGAAACCATTCTGCATTCAGATCCAGGTCTCAGATTGCTACCTACACAGACACACACACTTCTGTCTGCAGCAGAGCTGTTACACCACGGATGAATACAGCAGTATGCCTTTAGCCATGGCAATGTTATGCACAGGTGCCATTTGAAACGTTGTAACCATCAGTTTTCAGGACTCAAAGATTCAAATCCATCAGCGTTTATTCAAATCCTAGAGGGCAAGAGGACATTTCAGGTGAATAATCCAAATATGAACGTCAGTCCCCTTCCTAAATTAACAAGGTGTGTGAGCATCAGCCTCCAGGATCGGTCAGGATTCCACCAAGGGTGAGTACCAGTGAGCATCAGAAGAGAAGAATGGAGGTTCTCTACATAGATCAAAAAAAGAGAATGATATAATGGAGGAAGCAGTAAATGTGAGGGACAGCTTTGGCTTTTTCCAACTTTCTAATCGCAAAAAAATCATACACTGACAAGGTCATCCTTGGGAAAAATTACTGACTGTAGTGAAAGATCCTGAGCACACTGGTTTCATAACCTACAGTCTAAATAAGAATTAAAATTTTAACATTTAAATAGAACTTGATTTAAACAGGATGTAGGTATGTTTTCTTTTGAAAAACAAACCTGTTTACATTTGAAATTATGATAGCCCATCTTAAAACATAATGCTATCATAATCTAATAAACTCACTTAAACTCAATAAATGCATATTTGTTGAGAAAATAAAAGCCCCTAAGCTTATGGACACATCTGAAGAAACAGCTTGGAGCAGAGTCCCTTGAAATGCTGTACCAACTTCTGACAGCAGGAACTTGTTCTAAATGCCATGGCAGGCAAAAAAAAAAAAAAACAAAAAAAAAAACCACACACCAAAACCAGAAACAAATGCTCTATTTATTTATCAAGTTCAATGACTTGTTAACTTAAAAGCAGCAAATCAGCTGGGAACTGAAAAAGCAGGAAAGCTGTTTTCCTCTTTCAGTCTCTAAATAAATTAAAAAAAAAAAAAACACGTAGGAAAGGATAAGATACTTTTGTTCTAAAATCCTGAAGGACACAGTAGAAGGAAAACGGGACACACACAAAAGGTCGGTTCAGTTAATAACTTCTGATAACAGTGATTTTGTTTAATATACCCTAAAGTTACAGATGCAAAATGAATTTTGATAAACCCTTTCTTTTGTTACAGATCAGTATTTAACTGATCTGTAATTAATTAACCGAAAATTAATGCATGTTAATACAGAATTCTATAAGTTGGAAATTAAATAGAATTTTTACCAAAATGCAGCTTGATACTGATACCTAAAGATAATTAATCCCTATCTACTTAATGTAATATAGTTATTTAATTTATTCCCTTAACACACATAACAAACCTTTAAATATATTTCAAGGTCCAAAATGCTTAGCTAGATGAAAAAGCTACAAAACAAATATTTGTTTTCTAATTAATATATTATACCCTATAATAAAAACTTAATTTTTAGGGAAAAAAAAGCTTAAAGCTACAAACAACAGCAGGATTTGATTTCTTTTTACATATCAGTTACTTCTGTCACTTTAACTACTGATTATATCCAGTTTGATAATGCTCACTAAAAGAAAGTCCCGGCCATCAATATCACTAGGTCTAAACGTTGGTGATACTACCAGAGAGTATTGCAGCTCTCAGAGTGGCACTGTCACTCCTTGTTCTTTTCTCACAAAAAAAAAAAAAAAAAAGCAACAACAACAACAACGACCAACAGTCAAGCTAGGGTTCAAACAGGCTTTGTGTATAGCCCTGGTCTTGGAGCATTCTTCTTAAACTCAGTTTTTGAGGGGCTATAAAGTCTGTTTTGGTGAAAAGCATCTACTTTGAGAGACAATGTTGTGTCAGACATCTTCAGTTAGTGAGACATTACTAGATTGGAAGGTTGGCTCTGTGCCCTTTTCCTTAACGGAGTCACTCAAAGGAAGGTGGAGAACAAGACACCTCTGCCATGGTAAGCAATCAGGTGAGAAAAATGCTCAGGGCAGGAGGAGACTTGCACTGAGGATGAAAGAAATTTAGAATCCTCATTGAGAGAGGGTGGTCAGATCCAAGTCTCTTACAGCTGGCAGGTTTGTGTGGTTTTAGCTGAAGTTTGTACAAAATAGACACCTGTCAGAGAATCAGAAGGAAGATCTTCTGTACTATTTCAGAGCAGTAGCTCATCTTTTCCAGCTTTGCCTCTTAAACCAAGACCAATCCCAGATGTTCCAGCATAAAATACACATCCATGTATGGAATTTTAGCAAGCTGTCTTTCAAGAAAGCAAATAAAAACTTCCCTGGACTGTTCCGGGCATCAGCTAGAGCCCCAAAATGCAGGATAAAATTAGAATCCCTGTCCTGCTGCAGTCCTTCAAGTGTTACAAGAACACAGAGAACAGTGCAGGTTCTAAAAAAGAGAGTTAATCATACATTCTAGAAAAGCATTATCAACTCTGACTCATTGCACACTCAGCTAATGATTTTGTGCTTATACCATTATGGCACCACTTATTCTTGTTTTTAAGAGTTAATTTGGAATATAGAGAATACCTATACACCATTTCGCCTCATATCTTCTTCACAGTGATCAAAACACTTGCTTACGTTTCAACTATCAAATATCCCTCTTCATATTCATCTCAACCTTATATAAACAGTATATATTAAGTCATCTTTACAACGTTTGTTTTCCACTTCCTTTGGTTATTTTTTTTAATATTTTCTAGTACTTCACACCCTTCCTGA